AGGAGACTCGCTTGAGCCCAGGAGTTGGAGGTTGCTGTGAGCTGTAATGCCATGGCACTCTACCCAGGGGGACAGCTTGAGGCTCTGTCTCAAAAAAATAAAAAATAAAAAAAAAAAATGGAAGCAGGGAGGTCTCCTCATCTCCTGCTTAGAGCGGTCTTATAGCCGTACCCTGGTTCCTCAGTCATCTGCCAGATTTTAACAGTTTCTCTTGAACTTTAGGTTTTCTTGTACTGAAGAAAAATTACAACTGGCATTTATTTATTTATTTTTTTCTTTTTTTGAGACAGAGGCTCACTTTGTCACCCTCAGTAGAGTGCCATGGCGTCATAACTCACAGCAACCTCCAACTCTTGGTCTCAAGTGGTTCTCTTGCCTCAGCCTCCCAACCAGCTGGATCTACAGGCACCTGCTACAATACCCAGCTATTGTTAGAGACGAGGTTTTGCTGTGGCTCAAGCTGGTCTTGAACCTGTGAGGTCAGGCAATCCACCCACCTCAGCCCATTTATTTTTATTTATTCATTTATTTATTTATTTTGGAGACAGAGTCTCACTTAGTCGCCCTTGGTAGAGTGCCGTGGCATCGTAGCTCACGGAAACCTCAAATTCTTGGGCTTAAGTGATTCACTTGCCTCAGCCTCCCAAGTAGCTGGGACTACAGGTGCCCACCACAATGCACAGCTATTTTTTCTTTTTTTTTTTTTTTAAGAAACAGGGTCTCCCTCTGGCTCAAGCTCGTCTTGAACTGGTTAGCTCAGGCAGTCGACCTAACTTGCCCTCCCAGAGGGCTAGGATTATAGGTGTGAGCCATTGCGCCCAGCCTGCTTTTTTTGTTTTCTGAGAGATAGGTTCTTGCTATGTTGCCCAGGCTGATCCCAAATACCTGGCCTTAAATGGTCCTCCCATCTTGGCCTCCCAAAGTGCTACATTTACAGGCATGAGCTACCTTACTCAGTAGTTCTTACATTTTTAAAGGATTGTAAAAAGATTTAAAGGATGTTAAATAAAGAAAAGAATATGCTATGTGACCTATGGCCTAAAACATTATCTGGCTCTTAAAGTTCTGGAGCTCCCCACAAAAGCCAGTAGTTAAAACAACATGTGTAGGTATTATCTATTTTTCTGCCATCAAATCAAATTAAATGTTGGATGATTTGGTTTTTATTTCAACATTTGCCTTTTCTACCAGTTCTTTGGGTCTTCTGTCACCACTGTAAATGAGAAAGCATTCATATAGGCTTCCTAAAACAAAACAGCATACTTTTTGTTGTTGTTAAGCAGGCCTGGGCTGGGTTCAAACCCACCACCCCTGGTGCACAGAGCTGGCATTCTAACCCCTGAGCTACAAGCGCCCAACCCAGCATACTTTTCTATCATCTGCTGTTTCTAGCAGAGATCTTTCTCCTTCAGGGAAACCGGTTAAAGAAAGTTAATGATACCAGAAGAGTTGAAGAGTCAGAGAGCTAAGGTTCACTTGTTTTCCCTTACCTACTCCTTCCTTCCCTCTGGTAAGTTCCATGGCTGGGAACTAAGGTCTGCGACTTGCTCAAGTTTGCTTCCGTTCTTGGAGCAGTACTCGAGCGGAGTCTGCACCTAAGAGAATCACTCACACAAGTATATTTTCTGTAGTCAGATTCTCCCAGACATTTTTTTTTTTAGCCGGAGCCTCAAGCTGGTCCCCTGGGTAGATGCCCTGGCATCACAGCTCACAGCAACCTCCAACTACTCCTG